GGTGGGGTGGGGTGGGGTGGGGGGCTGAACCGGGATCGCACCCAGTTGAGCGGAAAAGGTGGGAATCGGATGGGTCCAGAGGCCGTTGGAGCTGGGCGGTGTTCGGATTGCAATAAATAAATAATCGAAGTGGGAATCCCCCCACCCCCCTCCGCCTTCCATCTGCCTCACCTTCCTTCTCTGGATCTTTGGTTTCACTTCACTTGATGGCAGCGATTAGCTTTCCTGGGTTGTGGGAAAGGGGCATTAACCCTTTCCTGCCCACATTTCTGAAACTTAGGCCCTTCCCTCCTCTCCCCTCCCCCCCCATTCTTTTCTCTTTGATGGGGGCTGGTGGGGGTTGAAACTGAATGATCTTCCAGACACCCTCCTTAGCTGGTCTCTCAGCTTCCCAACGCCTCTGTACAAGGGGAGCCCCAGCAGCTGCGTTAACCCTGTAGCCAAGGCGGGAGACGCCCGGGAGGGCTAACACTGACATGGGGACGAAGGTCAAACAGGCTGCTAGGATGCTCAGAAGCCATCGTGGCTTGAGGATGAAGGACTGGAGATGTTTTGATGACCTTCACAAATCATCCCCTTCAAGTGAAACTCAACTCCTGGTGACCTTCTGGACGTGTCTAGATCGTTTCCTTGATGCCAGCCCTATGAGGTAGACCACACCAGAAAATCAGCTCCACAAGAAGGCTAAAATTACTTTTACTGAGATTGGCTACAGGATTCGTTGTGCTGTGGCTCCTCCTTTTTACGCACCAGTGAATTAGGGCAGTGTCTGTCTGTCCGAGCCACTTCCAAATGTTATCTGGCTGTTGTGGACTTAAAAAATGCTTCAGCCCCTTTGGACTAGGTATTCCTGCGTATCTCCACCAAGGCCATCTTCCTTACTCTCTACACCAAGCCATGGTTGCATCTTCTTTTTTCCCGGTCTAGCCTACAGTCTTGGCGTTTCCTGGTGGTCTCCCATCCAAGGACTAACCCGGTTCATCTCTCAGGTTTTTGAGATCAGCCTAGATGCTCCCACCTATTAGCACTAATTGGAACTTCCAAAATCTGGGAGAAACGATAGGACCGGATTGCTTCCAAGGGACTGGCCCTAAGTTGGAAACCAGAATCAGCTGCAAATGGACCTGGATTCGACCTGACAGACAAGCCTTTCCTTAGGTCTTCATAGGTTCTCTAGTGCCCTGCCCTAAAATTCTTTGCCTTTTTTTTCCCTACCAGGTCTCGTTTTAATTAGATAAAAGAGCTTTTGTTTTTAAAATTGCTTTCACACAGGAAAAGGATTTGGATGGAATTCTCCTGGGGGGAGTGTGAGATCCTGGTGCTCAGTTGTTTATGAGACGGTTGGTCCAGGGTGTGTGTGAGTGTCTATGCCGTCCCAAGAGAAGAACGTCAAGAGCAAATTCCTCTCAGGAGGCTTATCCTGATTGGGATGTTTGGGCAGCCAGGGAGGCTGTAGAGGGATGGGGGGATCTGGAACCAGGAATCCTCTCTCCATTGGCCAGCAAGCAGCCTCCTTGGCTGCCCACTGTTTCATTCAACCCCAGGGGAAGAGATCAAAAAGAAAAGACACTCATCCCAGGGGTCTTTTTCAGTCATCTGGTCAGCCAGGGAGGCTGCAAAGAGATGGGAAGATCGCTGGGAGTCAGGTGGTCTATACATCATCATCATCATCATAGTTTAAGATCTGGCACAGGGAATCTTCTCTCCAGCGGCCAGCAACCTCCCTGGCTTCCTACTCTTCCATTCAGTCCTAAGGAAGGATATCAGATGAGAATTTCCAGGAGGGTTTTTCAGACGGGGAAGTAGGATCAGCCAGGGAGGCTGCAGACAGATGGAACTATGGGTAACAGGAAATCCTTATTCCACTGCTCCGCAACCTCTCTGGCATCCCACCTTCCATTTAGTCCCAAATGGAAACCTCAGAAAGGGCCTCATCTGAGGTGCTTTTTCAGGAGTGGCTGGGGAGGCTTTGGAGGGCAAGCAAGAGGGGTAGAAAATTTACCCACCAACAGTAGCCCCTCTTGAGACCTCCACCAATTAAGTCAGCTCAAAGAGAAACTTGAAAGAAATTCTCAAGCACTCCAGGACATAAAGTAGAAAAACAGAAGCCTCTTTTGGGGGGTAAAATGTTTGAGAAATTATAAAGCAGTCTTGGGCATAGCATTTGTTTATTTGTGTGGATGTTGGCTGGCAACATATCAGACGTCTGGTAGCACCTTTTCCAAGTAACAAATTTTATTAGCAGGTGTATGCTTTTGCAAGCTGCAGCCTTTTAATACCATTTGTTACTTGAGGAAGGTGCTACCAGACTCTTCCTGAATTTATTCATGCAAGGAATTGATTCCTGTAGCAAGATAGACGAGGCTTGCCCAGACGTGCCATCCTTAAAGATAAATAAAGGGAGTCAGTCATTCAGTCACAGAGCCCAGATACGGGGAGTCTAATTCTGATTACTGGAGGGCACTCTGCAAGGGCACAGATCCACGCTGGCTTTTGCGACGGCAGCATCTGAAGGAAAGTGGAGATGTCTTTGGAGAAGGAACGACCCAGCCGTTAAGAAAAGAATGAAGAACGAGTGAGACGGAAACTCAACATAACCCCACCTTGATTTTGTGTAGAATAAGACGGGGCAGAGAGAGGCTTTCCAAATTGTGTTTTTCTACCCTTCGAGAGTCAAGGGTGTTCCTGGAATCCCTGCGGTGTCTGTTCATTGGCCTACCTCGAAGGGTTGATGTGGCATAGCCTGGGACTGTTGTGCTGAACCCTTGAGGTTCGTCTTAAATGAAGCCGGGTTTATGCGTGACCCAATTTCCAGGCAGGGGCTCTGCCAGTACAGAGCTGGCACGAATTGTGAGATCCAGTACAAACCAGCCCTTGGTCCCCCTCTCCTTCCAAGACACAATGGCAACGGCAGCTTAGCAAATCCTCGGCTGAATACACGAGGGTGAGTCATCCCCTAGGCGAGCAACGAGCAATGTTGCCTGTGTCCAGCCAGCTGGATGGCTGCTCCCGCAGCAAGAAAATTCCCCTGGACCTCCATGGAAACCCTGCCCCAGTTTGCCCCAGACCCAACCACCAGCTTTATAGACGGATCCTGGATCTGGATGGGCTTTAGGAAGATCGCCTGGTCCTGCTGGTTTAAAAAAAAAGATTTGTTTTAACTGGAGCTCTTTGTCTATACTTTTTTTTAAAAAAGTTGTTTTTTTTAAAAGAGGTTTTTAAAAGTTTTTAAAGAGCCCTTGGGCCGTCTCCTCTCTGTGTGCATTATTGTGCTATTCGAAAAGAAAAACGGGGTACAGATGGAAAACTGAACGGAAAAGGACGTAGAGATGTGGGAGTGTCTGTGTGCAGGCCGTCCGCGTAATCGTTGCTCTCAATTCTGGCTGTAATCCTGATCTCATGTGCCTGGAACTAAGCAGGTTTGGACATCAAGGCTATGTCAAATAAATCTAAGATGAGCGGCTTCAGTGAACAATAACCGGTTTCTATCAGCTCTAAGTTTAGAGGAGTGTTTCTCAACCTTGGCAACTTTAAGAGGTGTGGACTTCAACTCCCAGAATTCTCCAGCCACCATAGGTGGACTTCAACTCCCAGAATTCCCCAGCCAGCATGCTGGCTGGGGAATTCTGGGAG